GCAAGCAGATTTTGACATCAAATTTTGGGATAAAAAAGTGTGTCTTATACACTGAAAAATACAGTACTTTCTTGTCTAAAATGTGTATGTTGGTTTTGAGGATAAAAATAAGAAGAGTTTAACTTATTGTCATTGTTGATAAAACCTTGAGTTTAGATTTCTAGATAACGTAAATTAGCAAGTAACAAAACAAAGAGGAGTTTAGGTTGTATATATAGAAATATTGAGTACAAGTCAAAGGATATCATTGGTTCACTGTATACAACTGTATGAGATTTTTTAGAATTAACTTGGAATAATACATTCAGTTTTGGTCACCTTATTTTAAGAAAAACTTTGAGTTGTTGGATAGAGGTCAGAGAAAAATACCAATTTCATTACAGTTTTGTGGATATGTTAACATCTTTGTTGGAGTGGGGGATATAATTGAGATTTTTTTAGATTATTAGAATTTTGGAAACCATAAATCTAAATTATATTTTCAAAGATTTGCAAGCAGTATGACAGTAGAAAACGAAGATACAATTCCAGTTAAGGCAGTGTTACTTTTCTCACAAATTATTCATCCTATTGAATAGTTTATCTTCAGGTGTGGTAGAAGCTGTAACATTAAAGTAGTTTAAATAGTTTAGATGAGTAGGCCTATTTTAGAATTATGAGTTGGCTGTTAGAAAAGGGGTGTCTAAGTATTTTGGAGTAAGGTGTTAGCAGAAAATGGGACATCATGGATATGCTAAATGAAAATATATACATATATAAATTTTGTGTTTAAAATTAGAACCTTATTGTAACTTTGTGCTAAATTTTAGTAAGATCTTACTTAAAATAGCAGAAGGATATCAATATATTTGGAAAATGTGTTGAAGCAGGCCTAAAATAACATCAAATAAAAGATATTGAGTTATGAGGGCCTATGTACAAGCTTTGTGTTATTTTAAGTTTAATAATTTAAAAAGTCTTTGATAGTTATATAAGTGTGAAAGGCTTGTGTTTTTGGACAGACCATAAGACCTTGCAGTTAAATACTGAGAGTGATAAAAAACAGAATAGGTGAATTCAGATTCCACAGTCATCTACACTTTAACCTCAAAGCAAAATTACTGTCATTAGTGTTACTGCGTATGCCATTTTACAAGACCATGCATCTAACAAAGCTGGCAAATAAAAGTTTGGAGATAGCTTGAATGGATGATGAAAAAAATGTTGTTATAAATGTACAACATCTTGACAAGGTTATGTGAAAATGTGGTACATTTATAATAAAGTTTTCTTCTTTACCCATTCACGCAGGTAACTGATCTTCAAAAATGAGCCTGCAGGATAATTTACTTTTAATTTTAGGCTAATGCTTCACATCTGCTGCATCTGTAATTAGTTAATAAAAGTACTTACAGAGCAGTAGAGAGTAGGATCATATTTCAATTTCTTTATTTCTATATTCTGTTAGAACTTTTAGCATTTTATAACTGTAAGGGCCTGTGATGTGACTGAAAGAGGTAATCACATCGCTCTGGGGTGTACTTAATTTTAAAAGTTCATAGTCACGTTACTTTGTCTATGTTGTTTGTTCATTTTCCTCTTTCACCCTCTGGTCTTACTGTAAACATACACGTATTCATTAACAAAAGTAAAAAAACAAAACAATGAATTATCAGATTTCCCAAAGTTTTCTAAATTAATATTTATAATTTATGTACTTCTGCTGATTTGAAATAGCCTGCATCGTAGCAACTTTGCAATGTACGTGTTGCAGAGCCTGAACTTCTCTGGTTTTCATTTCAACCATAAATTAATATATAATAGTAATAGTCTAAATAATAGGTCTAACTCTAAAATTGCTTCAACTTTTCAAGTTCAATAATTTCAAATATACATTATATACCTGAGTACAAGTAAAAGTTAAATCTAATTTTGGTTGGAGACGGTTTGAATGGATAATGAAGAAAAACTTTAAAATAAGATTAACATAACAGCAAATGTACAACGTTTCGTACCCGATGATGACAAAACCTTG